TCTGATCACAATGATTTATTAAAATTAGTTTTTAACTTTGGGAACAGCATAATTATATCATCAAAATCGATTTTGTAATTTTGAATAATTATATTAAAGTTCAAGAAATGAGAAAAACATGTAAGTTGCTCTTTTTTTAAATAGCTGGCGTTTTCCTTATTTCTTGGATTTTTAAAACCTTAGTAAATGATTCTTTCTTTCTGTTTTTCTTTTTGGCAGTTTTTATCAGCAGAAGCGGCAAAGTATTCTGTTATCTGTAAATTACTACAAAGTAGTCGATACCTAGAGGCATCGATATTTTACGTATCTTTCTAACACTTCTTTGACATGACAGCTGAAGACGTCACAGGCTAGTAAACAGAATCGTTATTGGTTGTGACCAATAACCAATACCTACTAAGTCTGTGGTTGTGACAACCACCAATTATAGGGCGTTTTCGTCGTAGAATAAATTCCTAAAAATATTGCATTTTCTTTAAGTTATTTTACTAAATCTAAACATATTTCTATTCAGATGATAAGAAATAAGTTTAAATAGATTATTATCTATCAGGATGACCACAAAATTCAACTTAATTTCGATAGTGTCGAATACCCTATACTAATGAGGAAGTATTAAAAAAAACGAAAGCACTAAAAAATCACCTCCACTAGATGGCGTCTCTAGCAAAAGTTTATTTTTGCAGGAAACGAATGAACCAAAGACAGTCATTTCCGTTCCTTTTAACTAACATATAAAAAAGCTGAAATTTGAAAAGTTCGAAACTTAGATTCAATACAAATACGAAAAAGTACAAATAGAATATGAGTTGTTTATTGAGTTTTGAAAACTAATTTACTTTTCACAAGGAAGAAACCGGAGGGGTTGTTATGGAGAAATCAAGAACGTACTAGTTTGATTTCGGGAACCATTTTTTTTTATACTCCCTCATTATACTACATATAATAATAATGCAATGTGCACTCTTATTTGATCAGTACAATTAAAAGAAATAATTAAGATGGATTCTATTTAAATCAAACAAAAATTGTAAATTCATTATATTTATTTATCGAAAAGAGTACATTTAAGATGATCATTACAATCATCATATTTAATAATGTGAGCATCTTATTCGCAGTGCAAGGCGGAGTAGTGTTGTATCGAGCAGCGTGACCTGAAAATTATAATTAAATATTTACCACTTTAACCAGAATATTCGTATGATTATGTAAAACATTATATTGCCTATGTGTCAGTAACATTGAAATAAGAAACAGACTCCATTGAAATTGAAACTATATTGAAATTATATACATTTTTAATTAAATGTCATAAATATAAAAAAAAAACAAACCTTTGACTTGAGCCCAGATCAATTCGATCGTATTAAATTGGCACTCATACTTAATGTAGTAGTTTCGTCCATGGGACAGGCGAAGGAATCATACTGAATGACATGAGATGATACCTGACGTATTCTAATCAACATGGCGGCTGGCGTAACGGCGTAGTGCTGCCCTATTGTGGCAGTTGTTAGAAGTTGTTAGATTAACCTATCGATTGCAACTGTTTTATTTATGAATAAATAGGTTTATGTTATTAACATTAATGATTATGTATTTATATCACTATAAATAATATTATTTTTTAAGCATATATGCAAACAAACGAATCAACAAATAATTAATTCTTTTTTCTTTATTATATTAATGGAGATTGAATAAAGATTATCGAATTTACATTAATCGACTGTCACATCTCTGTCTTTTTGTTAGTCTAGCATGACCTTGAAATGCGTAAGCGTCACATTTTTGTAAAGTTATTACTAGTAGTTTTACAATCTACGAAATACGTATTAGGTGAATTGTTATATTAATAATACATTGCAGTTCACTTGCGATAATATCATAATGAGGAAGTATTTGAAAAAATAAAGAAACTACACAAATTTATGTCACTAGATGGCAGCACAATTTGTTGGATCTAAACGTCAATAGGGTATTTGACACTTTCTGAAAACTATTTCAAATAGTTGTTTGCTACATTATAAACACACTGTCATTATATTTCATTGGAATATTTTCTATATTCGGTGAAAATAATTGTTAAAATTTAAATAGTCAAAATCGCGCGAAAAACGCTTCTTTATGTAAAGGCGCTGATCGTGACGTCACAGGCCAGTAAATATGTCAAATCGATAAGTGACAACTGTCTTTATAGTAAATTGAAATATTAATTTAGAAGAGACGTTAAACCAAAGAGAATATAATAAAATTGTAGACTTGTCTGTGTTGTTATGGATCTGATAACTCGGATTAATATCGAGTTGAAATTTAACTAAATCTAGTTATGCAAACACAACTCGATTAATACAAAGTAATCTTTGTACATATTTTTTTTTTATTTGTATGGACGAAAATGGAAACTAACATAGTGAAAGTGAGCACCAGTTATTTCTTTAGCTTCATTGTGTAAAGTACTCTTTGGTCAGTTTTTTTTTTACACAAGATTAGTAAATAAATAGTCATTGTTAATTTTTTAAGCGTAAAAATCTATGGTAAAAAACGTAATCTTGTATTGTCAAAAGTTACTGGTGATTTTAATTATTTTGTTATTTTTGGACTATAAAGTAAATGTAAGTATCTGCTGCTCTTTGTAAGTGCAAGCAATAGATCAATACCTTGTAGTTTTTGTAGATCAATAAAAATAGAACAGAAAAGGTCTTATTTACACAGTACCTAATCGAGTTCTTTTTAAATTCTTTTTGATAATGTATTCGAACATTGCTTTATAAAAGTTTTTTTAAGTAAGTTCCAAGACATCGAATATATTAGGAATTATACGTCCTTATGAAGGCCTAGATAGATAGAATATTCTTTATTGTACACATAAAACAAAATACACTATATAACGAAAACAGGAGACTTAGAATTGGCGGCCTTATCACTTCAATTGATCTCTTCCAGGTAAATTTGGGATGGAGTTAAATATAAAAACCTACATATAATAATCACATAATAACTATGATCATATAAACTTTAATACATACATATATAAACATATAATATCTATCTCTATACATACTTTATGTTATATTACACTACTTTGACAAGTCATGCTGTCTAAGAAGTTTCTTTAATAAAGTAATAGAATGTGCTTTTCTAACTAAAAGGTAGCACTTTCCATAAACATGGTGTGGATTGTAAAAAATATCATAAAACTTAGTGCAATGCATGGGCATTTCTAGCCACAAAGTTTTTTGATGGCTTTTGATGGCCCTTAAGAAGCAGGGCTGGTTTAAATTAGTCCTAAAATTATTACACAGATATGTAGATTACAAATTTATAAAGTAAGGTCAGTGATAGTGCAGTTTATTGAAATATCTGTCCAGTTATTTTTGTAATAAAATATACTTAAAAGTCAATTTAAGTTGGTTTCACTGGGGCTGAGCTAAAAACTGTTCTTTTTGCATTTAATTTACCCATCGTTTCCTTTAATCAATTACTTAAAATTTGCAATAAATAAGGAGTTATGAGAAAATACCTATACCACCTAAGTTACGTCTCATAATAATTGTATGGTAATACCACCTATATACAGAGAACACATATTTAATCTAAAATTTCATTTGCCAATACCATCTATATTACAGTTAGCTGCATAAACACATGCAAATATTTTAACTAATTCCAGCTATCTACAGTATTTTTGAAACATATCAGTCTAAGATCCCACTGCAAAATCACTACGTTCATCGTGTAGTTAGTCAAACTCACATTTTTACATAAATTTATGAATAGGAGAATACATTGATAACAATCTGCCAGTCAATAAGTGGCCGCAAGTAATTTTAATTAAATTAATGTTAATTAATTTTCGAAAAAAAAATTCGTTCATTTGTTTTTTAAATAAAATATCATCCACATCATAGCAATCTACGTAAATAATTTGAAAATCGATAGGTGCCGCTGTACAATCGGCCGTAATACGTTGCAGCCAGGTGTAAACAGGTAATATTTTGGTGTATTAATATGTTCATGATGTATACACATGTTTTTTATATCAAATTAAAGCTAATTTTTTTTAATATGATGATATAACGCTGTCTGTGAACAAATGGCTGCAAATTAAAGTTGCTAGCTGTTAAAGACTCAAGGTATCCGAGATAAAGTGAAAGAGAGTTAGCGCGCAACGCTACTTGTTAGACAGGGTGGCGGGTGTCAGCTGTGCGAGATGGGCGTAGTATATTTTTTTGTAAATAAAATAAAACGTAACCAAAATATTATTCTTCATAAATACGCTTTTTCCATTTTTACTTGATCAATAAACAATTTTTTATCATCAAATAAATGTTTTTTTATTTTATTTTTTTTCCAGAAGATTAATTACTTAATTATAATTTTGGAGTAATTGTAAAGTCGTTTCTACTACTATTTGCGTCGCTGACTGAGAACCCTATTTATTGACGCCTGCGCAATGGCAATACTCGCACAGTTGACACCCGCCATCCTCGTCTAACAAGTAGCGTTGCGCGTTAACTCTCTTTCACTTTATTTCGGATACCTCGAGTCTTTAATAGCTAGCAACTTTAATTTGCGGCCATTTGTTCACAGGCAGCGTCATATCATCATATTAAAAAAAATTAGCATTAATTTGATATAAAAAACATGCGTATACGTCATGAACGTATTAATACACCAAAATATTATCTGTTTACACCTGGCTGCAACGTATTACGGCCGATTGTACAGCGGCACCTATCGATTTTGAAATTCTTTACGTATATTGCTATGATGTGGATGATATTTTATTTAAAAAACAAATGAACGAATTTTTTTTTTTCGAAAATTAATTAACATTAATTTAATTAAAATTACTTGCGGCCACTTATTGACTGGCAGATTGTTATCAATGTATTCTCCTATTCATAAATTTATGTAAAAATGTGAGTTTGACTAACTACGCGATGAATGTAGTGATTTTGCAGTGGGATCTCGTACGATATGAAGTTTTCTTGAAATACATGTAAACACTTTATTTCCCATGCCTATCCATTAAATGATCAGATATAAAAATAAAAAACTTGTTGTAGAAAAAATATGAAACGTTTTTTCGTCTCCTGTAAAATCAACTTTTTGTAGATAGATGGTCTTGGTTCTTAAGCATCGTAATATTAATCAACTCATTTTATTATTTCAGGGTTGTAAAAATCAAATGGATAACTACTTTTTGGATATAATATATTGCTAAACTTGAAGAGTGGGATAAGTACTATTCAATTTCATTGTGGTATCCAAGGACTCGGATAAAAATTAAAATGTCATTAATTAATCTGCCAGAGGAAATTTTTATAATAATTATTAAAAAGTTAGATTTAAAATCCTTATACAATTTGTACAACACATGTCAATATGCAAGAAATGTTTTGCGGTTAAAGAACCTAATCAAATATTGGCCAATGACAATGAGTTCTATGGCCACAGTAAAATATTTGACAAGTGATTTCTTCAAAGATGTTGCAGGCCATTTGTTAGAGTTGAACTTATGTGGTGTTGTTGATTTAAGAAAAACAGCATTGTTACCAGCACTGAAGCGCTTGAAAAATCTGAAAACTTTAGATGTTACTTATACACAAATCAATTTAATGGATTTCTGTGATATGTATAAGGTCTGTCCTTCTATTAAAAATATAAGCATTGACTTTGAATTTGACAAAACCAAATTAAAAAATGATAATAATTTAATTGAAAAGTATCAAAATATTTTTCAAAATATGAACAATGTACATTTTGTAGGTTCAACTTCAAATTTATTATATTCAAATGCTGTGCTTCATATATTAAAAACATCAAAATTGAATATTTTCAAATTGACTGTAATTCATCGTAAGACACCTAATCCTTTATTTTATGATGAGGAATATATTGGTTCAGTAGAGTTTAATGAGTTTTATGTATATTTAATGAACTTGGAGGCAAATTATGGTCATTATCTTACAATTAGTCTGTTTATTGGAATCCAAGATGAGAATATTGAAAAGATAATCATTGTGAATGGAGCTCATTTAGATGAAATTAAAGTTTTTGCTACACCAATATTCATTAAATTTTTTAGTGACGAGTTTAATATAAAAACTATAGATATAAGCGAGTATGATAATTATCTTACTGGCAATGTTAGCATTATGATGTTCAATAAAGAGACTGTTCAATTTGATGCAGTATTCTATAATAGATTATTTAATAGAGTAAAGGAATATTTTCCATACGTCTTCTGTTCTGAGATTCAGTTACCAGTTCCTGATAAATATGATTGGTTTTATTCCCACCCAATAGTGACAGCTGTGAATGAAAACTGTAGCAACACTACCGATTTTAAGAAAAAGAGGATATGTAATCCAAACTTTTTATTAGATTATGATGTTGCTTTTAAAGATAAACACAAATTGATGTTGAGTTTATCGTTTTCTTTAAATTACGTTAACCCTGTTGCTCTTTCACCAAATAGTGAGTTCTTGTCGAAACTTACCTTTTTAAGTTTAAGTGGTACTGTACGGTATAGTGTGTGGTTTTTCAATATATTGTTTCGTTGTTGTTACAACCTTGTCACACTCGATGTGGTTGCTCCTCCGATTTCGCCATGCATCTCCGCTATCTCACGGTCCATACCTTTGAGTAAGACTTTGAAAAACATACGCCTTGTTGATCGAAGGTTTGATTACAGTAATTTCTTCTTATCGCTTAGTCAATGTAGGACGTTAGAAAATATTCACATCGTTGATCAATCATCGGAACACACAAGTTTAGCAGATCCTAGTATACTTTTTGAAAATTGTGAACATTTGTACAATGTATGTATTAAAGCGTGTATGACTGAAAATGTTCAGAAAAAAACTCTGAGTCTATTTAATAATACTAAAAAAGCTCGTGGTAGACCTCAGATCAATGTGAGTATATGTCCAATTCTATTAACCAATGATAGATATGGATTGAATTATGAACCTTCTATTGAAGTGTTCAATATTTTCCCAATTAAACCTGGATCATCTTTTAGCTAAAAAAAAATCTGCAACAATTGTACTCTAAAGCTGTAGCGTACTAACCTCATCGGAGGCCCGGGGCGACAATCGGCCGGACCAACCACTTTTTTCAAACGGGGCAGTAACTTGATATTGCGTTACCCCCCATACATTTTTAACTTAATTATATTATTACGATTTTGTGCGGATGGCTGGAGCCATTTGGAGGCCCCCTCTGCCCCCCTTAGTTCGCCACTGTTCTAGAGTCTGATATTATATGAAGATATATGTATCGTATTTGTATGGTCAGTCAACGACACGTCAAGTTATACAAACTGTCTTTCTTCACTTGATTTTCAATCTTAACGCACTGATGGTAGAGTTATGACGGCTTAGTGTAAGCTTTTTTAGCGTTACGTTCACCTTGGATTGTGATCGCGGTAAGGTTTTAGTATAGAAACCGACACAGCGCCTCTAGCTATAATATCAAGAACTACAAACCTCCATACAGTTTGCTAACTAAACTCACCGTAAAACTTTCACTTATCACTGCTGTGTGTACAATTTAATTTAAAGAAAACACTACTTTCTCTGATTATAAATCAATTAGTATATATGTATGAGACATAAGTATAAGTATATGCATGTAAGTCAATATTTACTGTGATATTATTAAATGATGTTTGTTTCGCATACTCATGTATTTATTATTTAAATTTCTGGACGACACTTATGGGCTTTATGTTGATCCTCAATATATAAGCAATGTAAATGTAACATTAAATCTGGTATCTAACAAAAAAAAATAATCATAGATACAGTCAACAGCAACAGCACATCAGGCTTTACAAAACTCACTTCACATGATTTTAAACCTTAGCGCGTTGCAAGTTTAGTTCAAAATTGTGGAAATTGGACATATTGTAGTAACCTGACATTATGCAGCCGTGTTGTTGTACACGGCTGCAAGCCAGTATTCTGCTTGGTTGATACTAACTACTACTAGCTGGGTATAACAAACTATAAACTCGATGCAGTGGTGGACTAACATCGTAGGAGGCCCCGGGCAGCATCAGGCAACCCCAATTTATTATTTCATCAAAGGAACTTGCAGCCATTTGTAGGCCCCCCAAGACAAGAGGCTCGGGGCGGACCAAATCCTCCGCGCACCCTTAGTCCGCCACTGACTCGATGTTCTAAGATAGAAAATCTGTTTAAATTATATATTTACGAGGAGAATGGATAAAGTATTCTATTTCATATTTATTATATATACATAACATTTGTTTATATAGAGTCTTGTTTTTTCTTATATAACTTCATAAATAATAAACATATAATTCCTAAGGTAGCGCTTCCTCCGCAGGCGTATGTTAAAACTCCTCTGTAGTACTGCGGGCAATCTTCTACATCATCGCATTTACTGTGAATCAAAATAATTTGAAATGAGTAGGTAAAGTATGTGTGTTTGAAGGTCGTCAGGGTAAGGCATGATTATCAGGGATGGGACGGACTAATTCTAACCATGATTCTAGCCATATGATACACCTTAGCGATGCTATGTCGATATTTAATTTCATTTGACTACTTTATTACAGACGACGACGACGACGAAAGAATGATGATTTTTTAATTTGACAGTAGCGCAAGGACTGATCCAGGGGGTTGATCACAGGGGTCATGCCTTGGGCTGGGTCAAGGACCTAGGTGGACTAATTATATATTTTTTGGGCCTATTTATTTTATTTATTTAAATTAATATATGACATTGTAGGCCCTATTTTTTTAATTAATTTAATATATGACTTTGTATCTATTATTTTCAAAATTAACTTCTTATGACTTGACTACGACTATGTGCCCCCCCCCCCTGGCGCCAAAATTAGTAACTACCTTTGACACTGGCAAATACACAAACCGTGTGATGCCAATACAAGAAAAAAAAAAGAAAAGTGAACCGAAATACCGCCAAAACAATCATAAGATGTCGTATTCTAGAGTTCTAGACTACAACCACGGCTAGAGAGTTAGATGGTCACACCACAGGTATTTAGCCGCCCTAGGCTAAAAAAATATACATCTTTCTTTCCACTATTACTCACATAAAAATCATGGTCTTTTATTCTTAAGATGTGGTAACTATCTACTGATTAGTGTGATTGTAGGTTGATTCTATATCCACATAGAAGTCTGGTTAGTCTACTGGGGCGTCTAAAAAAGTATATGTAATCGGCAGTTTCAAAGACAAAAAAATATATGTTTAAGAGCTTTTTATTGTGAAAAGTAGGCTTGAAGGAGGGCGATAACCGAATTCCATGCGGCCGAAAGCGAGTATTTAATATAACAACAATCAGTGCTTCAGTTACCCGAGGAAACAAATCCGGGCTATTGGAGATACCTTTAAACATCAAGCCATTAGGTACGAAGGTCATCATCATACGGAGGATGATGCATTTCAGTTACACATTAAAAATGTAGAGCCGAATTACATTTATATATGTCGTGTAGGTAATGCATGTTACCGGCAATCTGTATAATTCAGGTATTCTGTATAATACCTAGATCATTTATAGAACACCGGAATAATATTAGGTATGAATTACATACTTTCCTTAATATGCCTATACAATTCCTGGAGATTGCTGGACCGACAATGTGTAAATTAGTTAAAGATTATTGATATGTTAACTATAATATTAACCGGCCTACCTGTAGGATACATGGTAGGTTTAAATTCTATTTTTTATCTTTATTATTAGATAATTATAAAGTCACCAAACGTTTATTTCCTGCCTGTCCGCACGCTCTCCATCCTTACTGTCGTCTTTTATACGCATTACCGGCTGCACTTTCGGTATTGTGTAGGTAAGTTACCTAGGTATTGTATAGAATACCGGATCATACAGATTACCAGTAACATATAGATACTAACTAGTTTTCGATAGCCACGACTGCAATTCCAGTGACCAGTTTGTCAGCGAATGTTACAATAGAATAGATGGCAGCGCCCTGGTGCGAGTGAGGACCTATCATATCTGCGGTTACACATAAGCTCGACACCAACGTTATTGAACTACCAGCTCCTGAAAGGAAAAATATTCATATTGCTAGTAGTATTTTTATACATAAATATATAGAATCAAGAAAAAGATGAGTATTCCGCGGTAATATTGGTAATATATTGTATCTTTATTACTTATTTTAAATATCAGCTCTACATTTTTATTTACCTATCAAAGTTGCCACTAAATATATTTGCACGATGCTAGCCTCTGGGTTGACAGCTACCGCTATCCATAAGCAGCTTATTAGGCTTAAGGAACTTCCAATTAAATACGCAATCTGTTTAAAAATACAAAATTATTAGAGCCAAGGAAATAAAAATTAATAACAATAAAACGGTAAAAAATCTTGGTCATCGAGAATTTATACTGATTGACTGGTAATATAAGCGATAAAATAAGCGTTAATATCTTAGTAAAATAAGTTCATGATATATTTAGTTATTTCAATTATACAAATAAACATAATTTTAACAGACTTTTTTAACAGACGCTTTTAGAAATAAGCAAATATTTAAATTCGTCATTAGAATAGGTCAGCTAAATTATTTCTTTAAAAACAATGCTACTAAGTCATAAATTAACAATTGAAAATTGCGTTACGGACAAAATTTAAAAATACTCTTAATTCTCAATAGTAGGTATGTCCGTTCAATTATCATCTTAGCAAATTCGTAGTTGTAAAACGTGAAGAACAATCGGAATAAACTAACCATTTACACTCTTCTACTCTACGGTCCACTAGCAATGTCAATAAAAATATACAATAATTTGTCAAACTTAATCAAGAACTTTAATACAGAAAAACATTATATAAAACAAATAAAAAAATATTAACTAAAAGACATTATACCATACAAGAATACATAAGTGAAAAAGGACATTGCTCAACGTCATACATTGGTGGCCCCAGAGCCAAAAAAATATAGGAAAATACTTATTTTATTGTGTGTCACTAACTAATTATAATTATGTATTTATTATACCGCGACCGAGTTTTAGAACTTATTATTACGCAAAATATAATTCATTTTGAGGTTATAATTTGTTTGGAAAACCACCAAGAGATGGCACTCTAAGTACATGATATGATATTGATGTCTATATTGTCGAAGCAAAAAAACTCAACTTTAAGAAAGTCGGTTTTTCGTTGTGATTTGTAAAAGTTTCTAAGTCAATCAATAGACAAATAAATCATTCTAATAGTTAAATAATATACCTATTGATAAGCTTAAAATTAAAAAACCTATAGCTTTTTGATGGTTTACATCAAAAGATGGCGCCTTAAATACATAAATGACATGATGTTAATATGTTTACGAGAAATATAAAGGTAATGTAATAGAAACAAAGTAGTTTTTAGGATATGTCGTATGAATATCAATCTTTCTGAATAAACAAGAGTGAATTATCAACAGTTAATGAATTTAGTTAGTCTAATATTCAGTTTTTATGTCCTTATGTTTTAGTTGGAAAATCACCAAGAGATGGCGCTTTTAGTAAATTTAAGTTTATTTTCGGTCAATTTAATTTAATGTTTTTGTGTTCGATGATTTAAAGGTTATCTAATAAAAATAAATGATATTCTTGATCTGACGTGTAAATTACATCCATCTGACTCAATAGAATTTAAGTATATTGAATGTGAATATTTGCGAATAAAAATGTTACTGTTAAAGTACTTTTAAATATTAATTTTGGATCGCAGCTTGTCATGTCAAATAAATATTTGATTCCAATTTAATAAATAAATTAGTAATTATTATTGAAGTATTAACATTTAATGGTATTGGGGCCATTTTCGGCGATGTCCTTTACCATTAAATATAATATTCTAGTTTTGTATCTTTATTTTAATAATTATTTCATTATTAGATATCTATTAAGACATAAGTTTTCAAAAAATTGATTATTTAGTTTATAAAAGAAAGGTAATACTTGTTACCTACATTTAAAAGCACAGTGTCCTACCCTCTCTCGAAATTTGCTGTGTCCGATGGGGTCCATAATGATATTTTAGTTTTTATGAACAACTTAATGCTACATTGTGGAATGTAATAAAATAAATAAATAAACACCTACCTTATTACCGCATCTACTGATATGGCTTTTTAGAAGAAGTGAGAAGAAAAATGAGGAAATGTAGAGAACTAGTGGCACACTAGCCACAAGTTCAGAGCCTTCGCTTGGGTTGAAAGAGAGTCGTTCCTCTAGGAATAGTGGCACGTAGACTAGACTTAGAGCCCAGTATAGCCGCGAAAACACATATCTGCAATACAACAACATAATTAAATATGGTATGATGGAGTTGAGATGTCAAAAAATAAAATAATACAAAAGTATAATATACGAAATACCTGTTAAATAAGACTAAACAATAGATGGTTCTTTGTAATCGTGGTTACCGTCTTTTCTCTTAAAGTAAAAGGTAATAAGTACACTCTAAAAAATGGAGGCCAACAAAGAGCGATTTTCTCTTGGTTGACATAATATTGAATAAAACAATTAATTATTTACATAAATCAACCAAAGCTGAAACATTGAACCAACAAGTTAAAGTATGGTTAAATTAAAAATTTGGTAACCCTGATTAATTCTATCAAATATATTTATCGTATCTATCATTACTGGATTTTTTTGTGTGAATCGATTATTTTTAATAGTTAAATTTAACAACTAAGTATGTTGAGGCAATTTATACAAATTAATCAAAATAAATAGGTAAAGTAATAGATTAGACTATTTTTATTGTTGCAGTAATAAGTTTCTCGTATTTGGTTTAACAAAGAACGTTAATAGAACCAAAACAACCCTTTGTTTTTCAAACAACAAAGACTATTTAGTCAATTCAAAAACATGAATGATTAATGGTAACTACTTGATATTATTGGTTACTTAACTAAAATTAAGCTGTTCATGCTACTAACAATGTATTTGCTAAAATAATTATCAAATTCTGATTGATTTAAATACTGTCTTATATGAATCAACTAAGAAAAGCGAGTGCCAACAAAGACTGACTTTGTTAAATCCACGCAAACTTATCAAATTCACTTTTCTATTGCGAGAATATTGTTATGAAAAAGATTAATTCAACCAACATGTTGGTCGATATTAATATGAAACACGCCCATCATCTTCATAGGTGCCCGAATAGTTTTAAGTCTGCAAACTAGATGGCGTTGTTCATTTAATGCATCGCGGTATCAGTTTATATCATTAGATTGTATAAGTAATATGCCGTTTAAAGTAAACTTTCATTGCGCGCCCCCGTGCGCGTACACGACTCTCTTCTACCCAAACTGTGAGTACTCTCGTGCCGTCTGCACACCCCGAGCGCAGGCCCTGCTGATTTTGTTTTTTCCAAAACATTAAACCAGTAGGACTTGACTCACTCTCAAGTTCTTGAGTTGGTGGATACCTAACGGTGGCAACTAAGCCAACTGAGCGATCCCGGTGCGCTCGCTAAGGCCCTTCAGGCTTTAGCAACACCGAAGACCCGATCCCAGTGCACTTGGGCCTTGTCCCAAGGGTGAAGGTTTGCCGCTATATCCAATAGGGATAGCCGCATTTTTCCGCGTCGCGTTTTCCCCCCTCGCTCCGGCGCGGGGTAGGTCTCTTGCACACTCGCCCTATCTCCCTCTAACCTACCAAGGTAGGTGTGACGGAGAGAAGTGCGAGTGAAACACACCTACTTCTCTCTCTTTCGCGCATTTAACGGCTTGCATTGCCGACATGTCCGATCTGCTTAACAGAGAATTTTCCCTCGCGGAACTCCAAACGCATCCTACCGATCACCTTTTCCAACCCATCCTCAGCGCAATGATGGCCCACTCAAAGGCATCAGCGCAATCCTCAACCTCCCTCATGGAGTGCGAAAGCACATCCATAAAGAGGACCGCTTCACAGCGATCCCATCCTCGCTCCTCCTCACCGCCGGACGACGACCTTTTCAGGACGTCCGATTCCGACGATTCCTCTAACGTCTCTTTTCATACGGTGAGAAGCCGCAAGAAGCGTCGTAAGCCACGCTCTCCCAGAGCATGTGCGGACGCTTCAGCGGTAAACGTCCCCGGCAAGAAAGCCACTCTGGAGAATACTCCAAGTATTACTCCCTCCTCCACCCCGCTGCGGCCGCATAATAAATGCGATCCACGGCCGGGTAAACCCAAACCTCCGCCTCCCGTATTTATACGGGACAAATCCAGGTGGGCAGAGGTCTCGAACCTCTGCGCACAAAAGGATCCATAAGGATCTTAACGTACAGGGATTCCCTGTAGAATCCGCTCATAAGATGCACAGTAGAGCCGTGCAGGCCTTTCCCGCTGGCTCGACGCATCATTCCCACTGTCCCCAACGCGCGTGACATTTTCAGAGCCCTCACTAGACCTTAGGGTCTGACGGCCTTCCACAAGGTGGGTTAAAGTAGCACCCCCTCACCGACGCGGTACTCCCAGAGGACAGCGCCACCGATGCCAGCTTTACGGGCATGCGGCGGCTAAGCAATGTTCCGTACGAACTCTCCAGGCGCGTAAAGTGCCTCGAGTCACATCCTACAAAGGAGTGCTCTCGAACTCGAGACACGCGCACCCCTCCGGCCTGTGTACTGTGTGGCCAAATCGGCCACACGGCCTTCTATAAAGGCTGCCCACGTAGCAGCCGAAGCCCAGGCCCTCTTCTAAGCCGCTGGGCTCGGCCGGCGTTCAACAAAGCGCCTAAAGCCCCCCCCCCCGCCCACTGCGGCGAACTTCCCCGCCTTACCAAAGGCCGCCCCCAAACCGGCCTCACAACCGGTATGGACGAAGGCTTCACCAAAGGCTTCCGTCCCACCTCCCAAAACAGCTTCCGATTCTCCATCCTTAGTCGATGACATGAATACGGTTCTCAACCTGATTCGTGGAATCGACATGGATGAAGTCGCCACCGTAGCGGCTAAGCTCCGTCGCGCTTCGTCCACACGGGAACGCCTTTTGGCGCTGTGTGAACACGAAGCATTACTAAGTGCTTTATCTTAAGCACTAACAACATGTTAGGTTTCCCAAACCTCCCACAACCCATCCTCTGGCCGACCTGGACCTCCTCACGAGACCCAGTAGGCCAAATCCATCCCTATCACACCGACCCTTCAGGTCAACCCACTCGGTCCTCTCGACCTGACATCCCTTCAGGATGCAGGCCACACAAGTTGCTACGAGTATCAGATAGCACCCTTCTGGTGGTATGTGATGCCGCCCTCCATACGTCGACCCTTCAGGTCATACCCCCGTCCGATCCGGCTGATCGTTCCCCTTCAGGGAGTCAGCTGTATTCTCGACGTCACTATTCATGTATGTGTTTAGGGACGTCTGCGCCGCCCCCCCCCCCCTTGAGGGGGGGCGGTCGCTCAGTTGAAGGTTCGTTGCCTCCGGGCGTGTAACCATTAGTCCAAGGCGGTGTTTAGTCAGTAGGAGTCTGACATAACCCCCACAGCCGGCTGTGTGGGTATCCAATGAAGGATTCACCGCCTCCTTCCTCCGTTGATGGGAAGGTGGTTCCGAACCCATAAGGTTGAGAACCGAAAAAAAAAAAAAAAAAAAAGTAAACTTAATATGGGATTGGAAACCAACCATTCCAGTTATTTACTTCAGCTCTGTGGTCCGAGTTTAAAATCTGACTCGCTTTGGACCAAAAGTTCAGAATGATCAAACGGCTAAAGTGGTTGGTTGTCTTGGTTGAATTACCATTGGTAAATCGATTAATATAATCTTGTCTCATGCTTAAATTGACCAATCTTTTGGCAGAATTAACTTAGGTAAATTGTTTGAAACAACCAAGTTTCATATTAATATCGACCGACATGTTGGTTGAATTAACTTCGGTAAATTGGTTAGTACAACGATGTTTCATGCTTATATTGACTAACCTATCGGTTGAAAGAACTACGGTAAATTGGCAAGTACATATTTCATGGTTAAATTGACCAACTCTTTGGTCAAATTAACTTTCGTAAATTGATTAGTTTAGCCATGTTTCATGTTAATTTTTACCAGCCTCTTGGTTGAATCAACTGTGGTAAAGTGTTCATACAGTCACATATCATAGACTTATCAACTACGATCTTATTTAAATTGAAGACTAGGAGGTAGTTGCTATAGTTATTTATAATGATCAAACTGAATGAAATCTTAACTATCTTCACAAAGTAACTATCGTAAAAATAATAAAAACCATCTTATTTAATGTATCTAACATCTTGTCAGGCTCATATGGAAACAAGATGCTTGGTCACATATATCACAATATTGTTTGATTTAACAATTTTTTTTTAGAGTGTATATTAAGGTAGTTTTGTATAAAGTCCCGCAAAGAAAAATCGTGTCTTAAAAGTGATCCGTATTATAGCAATATATTATACCTAAAGATGTGGGGAACGTGTTCATTTCCAAATCGGGTTTAGGACTGCCTTAGATTTAAAAGAGAAGCTCGATGGCGCAATGGTTTGCACGGTCTGCATTACGGAAGTTAAGCAACTTTCGTAACTTTCCAAGACTCGGTCATAGAATGGGTGACCAAAAACTTACTATCTGTGTACAGGGACACGAGGATTATATGTGCCCTAGTAGTGGGGACATTAAAGAGCGGTGAAGATAGACTTAATACAATTCTAAATTAGGCAGATACTTACAATAAACTAGCTTGGTATAACAATGGCATTCTCACAAAGTGCATTATCTTCGATTTAGTAACTGATGAGGTTTCTGTATCTTTCACCAGCGATGTAGATCCGTTGGCAACACCATTATCATATGTTTTACTGCTTTTCGTTGAATTCAGTTTGAAGAAAATATGAAATAGTGAATATGACAATATTCCGAGACTTGAAATAATTAATGATACATCCTGTAGAGAGATTTATAATAAAATAAACAATGCTTAGCTAAATTAAATTTATTATATATCATATAATATAACTTACTCTAAATTTGTAGTCATCTGTAGGTCCGATAAAAGTACTATAATTAGTTGCTCTTAGTACAACCCAAGTGATTAGATATACCATTAGACTTGATATTACCGATGCCATATATCTGTAACAATCAAAAACTCTTAGTTACATATGCATTCATTAGATATTCTATGATTTATATTTCATTTACTCTTTGCTATTTTTTTTGGAAAAGTATATAATTTCGAAATCTGTGTTGGAGTATTACTGTTAAGGAGCATTGCATAAAACTAGATGATTTTAATAATTAACAACATTTTTTAGGCGATTTGCCAGTGTAGGTTTCCAGCGCCTGGGACTATATTAACCGGCAATCGTTAAGTCCTTACCAGTATAAGTTTATACGAGCATAAATAACCCAGCAACGAATTAGAAAAGTAAGACTCTAATATGTATTTTACATATCTTGAAAGTAGGTGGTGTCACGTGTCACTGGAATAAAGTACGCTTTATATTTTTTCTTGAACTTGCTTTCTTTAAATCTATATAGTATATAAATTTAATCAATTAGTAAAATTTATCTCTGTACACTGACGCTAAACCTTGATTATTAATGGCACTGAAATAGTAATAGCTTGTAAGGAGATAGAGTAAAAAAAAATATATATCTATACCACACGGATGAAGTCTAGAGCAAAAGCTAGTTTAATATGCAAAAGCTAGTTTAATATGCAAAAGGAAAAAGTGACCGAGTGATCTATCTACGCACAGATCATACTACTTTACGAAGAGAAAGAAAAATTCAATTGTTAAGGGGATCAAATACCTGCGAGTTTGCAAATTATGTTTTTAGAATGGAACGCAAAATAATATATCAATCTTGCCTTATAGAAGTCAGCTCTGAACGAGCTTCCAAGTTGTCTGTTATAGAGGGAATCATAGCCAGATGGGAGATCTGTGTGATAGCCCATCCTATCTGAAAGAATGTTATTAGTACTGCGTAGTAAAATGGCATCCACCATGACAGGTAAGCGGCATTCTGCCCTGCCCAGCAACCCCAGCATCTTATGAAGAGGAGTGGGAATGTGCACGTCACCAAGATACTGCCTGAAAGAATAGTTTTTGAATGATAAATTAAGCACGTGGCAAAGGTAAAAGAAATCTGATAGTTTACTTTCAAGTAAAAATAAATAAATCCAAAGTCGCAGTAGTTTTAACTATACCCAAACAAAACCTACTTTGTACAAACAATTAAATCCGTTAATAATATTATACTAGCATAGCCTTTATATTAAAATATTAAGTTTTCGGTCTTTTGTAGCTGCATGTACCTACAATGAAAGTAACCTTGCATATAAATCAAACTTATCTTATCTGCATGATCTTAGTAAAACTTGTTTTTTGGTAATACGCCCATTGATGTGGCTCATTTATACAGTTTCTAAGGGTAATTAATATTCGAATAAGACTTTTTAAGGGATTATTGGTGATAAACTCAAAAAAAAATATACTGTTATAATATGTTTTTTTTTTATGTCGGACTGGTCCACTAAGTGTTCCGTATTATTATCCATTAAAAAATCAAATTTATTGTTATCTATCTATGGAGTTTTTCGAATTAAATACAATTGTTCGACTATTACTCGTCAACTTGTAAAGCCAACTTAAGTGTGATAGTTTTCGTTTTAATTTCGTTAAACCTACATAGCTTCATAAGTCAGAAACGGTTTACTTAATCGAAAAAAGGCCTTCCCAAACCCCCAAAGCTTCCGAAAGACCTACCCAACGATGCCCAATACTATAGGGAAGACGACAAAAAAAATATCTCATCCGTACTTTACATGTGAAGGAGGTAAATATTATTATTTTTTAAGTCTACTTAACATTTTATCTTTGTTTTACCAATCGTTTTTGAGCTAAACACAGACATAAAGGAAAAAGGACGGGGCAGACGGACCATAGGGAATAAAGGTTCTACTTTACCACGGAACACTTAAAATTACGTTCATCTCACATTATTCACCTCGGAATATTTGAATATTCGAGGATTGATTTCTAATTTTATCTTGTTAACAAATTTCTATATAGTTTTTTTTTTGTTTTATAAGAAACATATTCAGATAACTGTTAAGTTGTTTCCTATGGATTCACTTTTTAGTAATTAAAATAAGACTTTAATTAAAGATTTTTATTCTAATAGGTACGCCATCTTTACTCACACCCATACTTCCTTAACCATGGACTTAATTAGTTTTCTTCTTTTAATCATAGACTACTATCCTCAATATCTTACAATAACCATTGATTACAGTTTTTCTATCTGCATAAATTCAATAAAGAAACAGTCACTTACCAGATAGGTGCCAAGATTTCTTTGTACCATATCGGTCAGCTAAAACACCCACTGCCGGAGTTGCAAGTGCATCTACAATTTGTCCTGCAATATTGAAACAAAAATTTATGAACCAAGAGAACACTTGTGAGAGAGCATTGTTTAAGTCTAAATTGAAGTTATTTCTTTGGCCATTTTAAGATTGCTTCATAAAACGTTTTATAGCTATGACTGGACGTACAGCTAAAGAGTTAGGTGATTACTCCTCTGGTCTCCAGTTAGAAATCACGTAGGGGATATTGTTGGATGATGGGTAAAATCAGCTCTAATACGTCATAGGCATAATAATGGTGAAAATGTTAGGAATCAGTGGCGTAACTATATCATCTGAGGCAAATTTGTTGTATGGGACCCCAAGAAAGATCGTCATAATAAATTACTGAGATAGTTACCTGACAGTTAGAGAATCATTGTAACCATTTTAATAAATAGGTTACTATTAATTCTTTTACCATTTATTTTTAATAAATAGGTTATTATTAATTCTGTTTACGCTAATAATCTTCCAGCACTAGCTGTAGTATGTTTAAATCTGAAATATTTATTTAAGTATGTATATGTTCTTCGGTTGTGTCTTACTTTAATTGATTTTACGTACGTATATAAAAGATAAACATTTTCTATTATTTAGTCATAAATCTTTAGTGACTCGGGACAGTCTCTAGAGTCGGGGTCTCCGTCAGGTCGTAGGCCAATAGAGGACTGGCAAAATACTACAGGCTACTTTGTACCTAGTTACGCCACTGTTAGAAACCATTTACATAAGACCAATAAAGCGTTTATTAATTAGGCAAATGTAAGAGTTTCTATTACCCAAGAGCAACATAGAGCCAGCGATAGCTGCTCTCATATGTAGGACGGCTTGGAAGAACAGCATCATATATGAGAACCACATCGCCGCACACAGGTCGTTGTAAACATGGCCGAGACCGTAGAAGATCTTCTGGCCAATTCTGAACCGCCATCGTCTATTCGTGTCACTGAAAAATTAAAACGCTTTATTTGAGAAAGATTGTACAGGTGGATTTTTGAGACAGACAAGATTTTGAAGATTTCTTTCTTTTCTAGTACTCATACCTTACCTTACCTATACCATGGTCTCATAGTCTTTTGATTTCCAAAAAAAAATATGATCATATTTTTTTTTGTTAACGGTGTGGTGTGGGTGAGGATGAGGGATACAGTTGTTAATTTTTACATATTCAAACTGCTAACAAGCATATGTGAAAGTCTAATAGAGCGTTTCTCAAAGTTTCTGTCACAGATAATTTTTTTGATAATACAGGGGAAATCCATTTATATCTCAATCAAATCAGGACTATTCAACCACTAGGACCCCCGAACGGCGAGGTTGAAGCGTGGTTGGCCTACCTGTTAAAACCCACTGCGGAGTAACATCGCGTGGGGGAAAGTATCCTGGATTCGGAACAGATGGCTTCGGACTGAACCCTACAACGCTGAGGAGCATTAAGCCTCCGTAAAGCAAGTTGAAACGGTCATATTTTGGCAAATAATTTGAGTGCAATCAAAATATTTATGCAATTAATTTATTAATACCACAGTACACAAAGTTTTGGGCTCCGTATAAATATTTGGTTTCCGAAACTTAGAAAAACTGTTTAACGGCGCGATACCTCTTATAATAATACAATAGAAGGTAACTGCAGTTAACTGTATTTCCCTAATATATTGAAAACTGCATAATTGTGTGTCCTCAGATTACGAAAAAAGTTTTTGCATGGTCTCTCTTTCTTTGAAGAAAACTGAGGTCTCCTAATGGGATATATCATATTACGAATCTAATAGCTTTTTTCCGCGACTTCGCCCGCATGGCCTAGTTTTAAGTCCAGAAATGAGAAATTTACATAAAAACTTTCATCCCCTAATTTACCCCCTTAGGGGTCGAATTTCGTAAAATCCCGTCTTAGTGAGCACCTACTTCCCAAAATTTGAAACTCCTAGCACTTGTAGTAAGAAAGTTTCGTACAAATTTTGTACTTTTAACTTTGAATGTTCAAAAATCCTCTCTAAGTGCTTCTCTGAATTTTTATACCACTAGGAATCTTCATACCACTTTCTACGCTCGGTCGTTTCGGCTGTATGTACATCAGTCAGTCACTCAGCAATGCAAGAATTTTATATATATAGATGATAATAATAAAGTACATATCCTTTTTCTAATATAATATATACACACAATGATAACGACGATCCAATACATAATTTCAATCTTACCCAAGGATCGAATCTTCAACACGTTCCAACACCGAAACATCAGTCATAACTTTTTAAAATCACTGACCTCTTTTTAAGTTGAGCTGTGACAAAGTCCCAGCATCTATTACCTATGTCACATTCACAAACTCTTGAAGATTCGACCTGATAGTAGATACCTTTTGACTAATGGATGGCGTGACAAAGTGTGCAAATTGTAATGACAGATAAAACTGAATTAGATAATACTTGGGAAACGTTTAGCTTATTACCTTATAGTTTCCAGTTCGGGAAGAGCATTGTTGTTCAAAATTGGCTCTTTGAGATCCGTTGAGCCATATTTACTGGACATCTTGTTGTTTTTTAGAAACACATTTTAACTTTCCTACTTCGAACACATGGTGTAGTTTTCATTGTTCTAAACGCGGACTATTAATTTAGTTAGTTGAAGAAGCCGCATGTGTTACCACAGAGCGAGCCCGGCGACTTATGACATCGGTTGACTAGCCCTCTATAGCTTAAAACGACCAGTTACAATGCAGAGTGAAGAACCAACAGTGTAACCGGTACACAAGTTTGAAAATATATTATATTTTTTTAAGAAAGCTATAAAAAAGCCGGTTCTTCTAAAATAAATAAATGACAATCTGATGAATAGCTAATGTATTTATTTATAACCAGTATGGTAGCGTAGTGAATATATGCAATAAGTATAGTAGCAGGATATTATTTGTCGAAGGCAATTTAGTCAATTAAGGACATCTAGTTAGTGGTAGGGTATAGATTGGAGGATTATCAGTGAAGATTGTAGGCTTCCTAAAGTAAGCTGAACATAGTTTTTATCAAATATTTTTGCTTTTTATTACTTTTTGTTACTTAAATGACGCTATCTAGTACTTTGTATATGATGTTTTAATCTAATTGCTCTAAATGCCGCATGCTGCCAGTGAAGTTTTTAAACACAATAATGAAAACTGTATTTAATTTAATTAAAATGTATTTATATTCTAAATACATTAAAAAGCTCTTTAATAGAATTTACTGCTGATAGACAGGTTTTTTTCTATGCATAAAATTATATAGGGAGAACGGGCAAAACTTACTACCTAGTGTCCTCCTGGGTACCTACCCAGACCTAAACTCTTGGTAGTGTGTGAACGCTGTCTATCCAAGACGATGCCTAAACGTACCTTCTGAAACACAGAGGAACTCGAAGTAATAAGTTTTGGGTCACCCACCCGACGATTGGCCTTTGCAAAGGTCGCTTAACATCCGCAATCGCACATCGAGTGCACTAACTATTCACCAGCGAGCTCCTCGAGAGCAATGAACAAGAAAAGCGGTTTTCATATTATCGCAGGTAGGTATCTATTTAGTTGCAGTATCACTAATTTACATATAACTCATTATAACGATTGAATACGCTGTCAGCGGTCGATGGCCGTCATATGAGAAGCGATTTAACTTGACAGTGGCTTCCGCAGATATCGGGTTACTACCTCAACAACGGTTGACTGGTCACTGGCACTCTTTACTGACCTGAAAGTGAGTCACACTTTGCAATAAATTAGTTATCACCCTATTAAGATTAAAATTTCATTTAAGTGTAACCAAACTATTTGGAAAAAACTTTTTAATAATAACGAATACCTACACGAAAATATGACATTATAAATTGTTATAATAATTATGACAGTATACACATTTAGCATATTATATTTATAAGTTAATATTTTTAGTAAATATTCTTGCTAGTTCGTGTTCGATTGTGATTCTACAAAGCAGCAGACACTAGTGTGACAACATTTTACTAACAGGGTTTACATAAAAATACAGAGAAAAAAAAATATCACGTAGTTACTTGGCATTTCAATAACTTTCAGTTTCATATTGACCATTAATAGGGTACCCTTTTTAACAGCATCAAAATCCTCTGCTGTGATTTGCATTAAAAAGTCTTTGTTCCATAAGCAGAAAATTATAACGAAGATAACCAGAATACACGCATATATACCTACTTTGATAAAAAATATCATGAAAAGAACTTCTACTAATTACAGTTCGGTATTGTAAACAAATAGCTTAATGCTTAAAAATATAAAATATCTCATAGAGTCAATTTTATTTTTGCAATTGGTGAACCTTTAACATTTTTTTATTTTTTAATAAAAGTTTCATGAATATATTATGATATATTTTAATATTATTCAAGTTCTAATCAGGTTTTAACAAAATTATCTATACGAGTTGCTCAACTAGCTATCTTCAAAAGTAACCGGTTCATTTTAATTAATGGAAATAGCTTTATTTCGGCATCTTCCCTAGCGGAAAGTTTATGTAGTAGAGTTTTAATTAAGAGAAATAATAGGAATTTTATTCAAAATGAATTTTTTAAACTTTTTTTTTTAATTACACTGTAAGCGCTGAAGATGTCATAGTCCATGCTTTACCATATTTATACATTATGTATGAGCCAGTTTAGGTTCAGAAATGTAGATGAGTTGCTATTAATTGGTTGGCAAAAAAGATTAAAAAAATTCTCTGATCTTCAATTGTTTAGACCAAAGTTATTCTTTTAAAAACACTATAATTTTAAAATATTTCCATAACACCATCTAGCCAAAAAGCTTAATTTCGATTGTTAATTAAATTCTAAAAAGCATTTCAACAGCATCGCTTTTGTATTGAGAAGCACAGCTTAATAGAGTACGCAGTGTTTTACCACTGCTTTGTTAGAGGGCGCTACTAGTATCTTATTTTGTTATTCGTAAACGTGGCGTAACTCTATCCCGTATTTTTAAAGATGTTTTTTAAAAAAATCTTCTGTTTTACAGGGAAATATATGTAAGGTGTACATGTTATAAATAGAGTTATTTCAAGTTACCTATATGGAACCTCGTAAAAGCTTAAATTAATCTTAGAAAAAGGGATTGTTTTTTTCCACAAACATTTACAACAGCATTAAATAGCAACCTATGCTAAAATAATTAAAATCCTTTTTCAGACCAAGACTTCAATGTTTGTAGGCTAAATAGAATGATGTTTAAAAGCAAGATTTTACACTCAACACCTTTGTTTTACATGCTAGTCTTATAAGACTAGAAAGCTAGTTAGTAATAAAATAATAGACAATCATTTTAAACGTGTATTATTTTTAAACATAAAACAAATTTATCTATTTACACATAGGTACAGCATAATAAACTAAGTCAGTAAAACAAGATCCTTCGAAAGGTAAAGAACAAATCCTTGTATAATGTGCATGTCGTCATCCTTTCTGACATTTCTGATCTTAATGTCTGCAGAGAATCTGTAAGATATAAGTTAATTTATCTTATTCTTGTTATTAAATTGTATAAATTATAAACTAGTAAAAATGACTGTTATAGCAGTAGTTTATTTCTAGTTGTTGTATGGATCTATATCTAGGAACAGCACTAATACGTTGTGAAAAGTTAAGATACTTTTAGATTTAGATATATATAAAATATTGTATTTCTACAGGTTTTGAGGCACCTACTACTCTTGCCGGATCCCGTATACTTCCCCCCATGTGGTACTCCGCAGTGGGCCTTATTAGGTATGTGAACCACGCTTTGATATTACGCTTCGGGGTAGCTCCTAAAGTTTGAAGAAACCTAACACAAAGGCATAAGGTTCATTTCCGCTGCGTTAATAAAAAAAGGAATATCTGGGGGGTAACCGCCTTACTCTCTAGCCATAAGATACGCATCTGTGCGAATATTCTGACGATTTAGCATTATTT